ATCAGTTTTATATATAATCATTGATATTATTAATAAAGCAAAAGGTACATAGCATTTGCGAAGGCATAAATATCCCTTGGTTTAGAACCTGCCATGATTGCCCAAAATTAAGGCCCTGGAGTTCTTGCATGGGATAATCGATGGAGAATTCGATTATATACCAAATTGAAAATTGAAACTTTTACTCTTTCTGCATAAGAATAATTAAGCAGAATATGACTGTAGGTAGCAACTGCCTACTTTCTTTCTTGATTGTTGTTGCTTTTGGACCAAAACAAAACAATTAACCCATGCAAGGTCAAAAGAATAAAACAGACAAGACTTGGGAAATGGAAATATACGATGCCTTCGAGCAGTATCAGCTCAGCTAAAGCTTCCAAAGCATAAGAAAACATCTCGAGATCTCTGTTTAATAACAAAATCAAACAGTTACACACTAAAGAAAATCTAGGAGTTCCAGATTCTCCGATGAGTCTAATCTGTGAAAGATGTCTTGGTATCCCAATAAGATCCTCAGCTTCTCTCGTCTTGTTCTTGTTAATCATCATCTTGGGTATCAAGATTTAAGACAGCCAATGCCTTGGCCCTTCTCTAACAACACCTTCATCATTGGGCTGTGGGTCCTTCCCCCAATCATCTTTATCTCCTTCTTCGTTTATAAGTCTCTCTTTTTAATATAAAAGATTCAAAAAAAAATAAAAACAAAAGAAAATTCAAAGCGAGACAAGCTTTGTTCGATAATGTTTTTGCAGACATTTTGTTAATATGAATTGTTTAAAAATATAAATTTGTTACTTTTAATTAATTTTAATTAATTATTATATATTTTTAAAGTAATAAAAGATTAAAAAAATCTAAAACTATAATACAGCATAATACGACGACACTGGCAAATAAAACTGGAAATAGAATTAGGATTGGGTTGGTCACTATGCCTAAAATGTTGATCTAATGTGAATGTAGAGATTAATTATTTAGGTACGATGTGGGGCTCATGGGGTAAGGGATGGTTGGTTATTACGCCTAAAATGTTAGCCCATTGATCCTTCCTTTGTCTGCGTGTTTTACCAAACTAAGACTTATATTGAAAAACAGACTTGATAGAGGGATAAAGCTTGATTGATGCGCTTCCAACTAAAAGTAGAGCAAAGTTGAAATTAGGTTATGAACTTGATTAACTTTACACTTGTCAGAACTTAATCTGTTTTGTATTCTTTAAAAACAATAAAGGCCTTCAAATGTTCAAAAAAATGTCAATTTCAACAATTATAGTTAAGATGGCAAAAAAAGAAAAAAAAGTCATGCTTATAGACCCACTTCTACTTTCAAATTCCCCACTTCAACATCTATCCATTGTAATTGTATGAACTGACAATTTTTGTGTAAATCCGAACCAGCTAGCAGGTTTTTTTTTTTTTAAAGAAGAATAGAATTATAGAACAACAAGAAAAAGCCTAGTCCATTCAAAACAATGCATGTGTTGTAGGATGGGTCCAAATCCATCAAATGCTTCCATGTTGGGCCAATTGGGCTTTTCATTAACATCAATCTTTTCAGTTCCACGTTGGTCGGAAAAAAAAAAAATCTTAAATGAAAAGCCCAATTGGGCCAACGTGGAACTGGAAAAGCTTGTTCTTGTTCGTGCTCGGGCTTAAGTTAATGCAGTCTTACTGGGCCAACACGTAATGGAAGTGGATACTAAGTTACTAATTAGAAATGTCATTAGAAAGGGGTGTGACCAGAGCAACGAGGCAATTGTGGTCAACCCGTTTCCTTTTGAAGGATGATCGTTAAAAATGTTTGACTGTTAATTAAGTGCGTCTTATCTGAATATGATGAGAATAGAAGAAGTATATGCAAAAAATTAATAAAAAAATAATTAAGTTAATATTTATTAATTTAAAATTTTTAATTTAGAGTAAAGATTAAAATTTAAATTTTTATGTTATTAAGCAGTTAATCTTGTAATATATAAAAAAAAAAAACTATATACATAAATCAAAACTCATTAATTTAAGTTTGTGTTTTGAGTTTGAGATAGCGTACAAAATGCATGGAATGGATTAAAGTTTTTTTCTTCAATTTTGAAAATAGAAAGTCATACTCGATCTCTCGACAAAGACCGGGTGGCAGGGAGGCAGAAGCGAATGCGAATGAGATGGGGGGGGGCAAGTTAGCATCATTTCCCTGCCCTCAGTACCACGTTTTAATCAAATTAATTGAGAAAATCTGTGTCTCCATTATTGACAATACAATACCCCTAATCAAATCCTCCTCCTCTTGACCCCAGCCTCCCCCATGCCAGTTTGGTCCACGAAACACCTAAAGATGAGGACTTCCTTCAAGTTAAAGGCTATGCCAAGAACTACGACCTTTGAATGCTTAATTCCAAATGAAAAGGCATATAACAGCTAGCACGTCAAACCTACCTAGAGCTATGCGAAATCACAGATATGGCAATATGCTGTATGAATTTTTGAGCAGAGAGAGCACAAGTTGTGAATGTAGCTAGTCAACTAATTACAAAAACCAAAATTGAAGAGATGGCATTCAATTAATTAAAAAATCTTTAGTCAGACATCCATCGAGAGAGTTGCAAGTTGCTATATAAATTAGCAATCAATTGGAAACTTACCTTGCTCGAGTAATTTCCTTTCAAGATGCGCTGGGATGGACCCGTACCACAACTTCCATATGGACCACCTTAAAATCTCAAAACAATTTGATGATTTTAATTAGTTTCCATTTGGAGATTAATCATTTGTTCGATATGATTCAATGATAACTTTTCCATGTTAACTTTTCCAAGCATGTAAAATCAATGGATACAGGGATCATGTCTGGGTTTACCCTTTCAATGAAAGTTGGTCCTTTCATGAGTTTAATGCAGCGCAGTGCTATGTGACAACAATATGTATAGAATCCCATGAGATTGGTCCGGTCAATTTACAAAGTTCTATTAAAAAGACAATTTATCATAAATTTCTCAATCTTAACAAAAATACATGACTTGTTTTTTTATCAAATTTGAAGACATAAACATATAGCAAATGAGAGTTTCATGATCTTAACGCACGCAAAACTTACTTAGAACTAAAATCCTGAATTTTGGAGAGGGAAAGGCAAAATGATACTATATAGGGAAAGGCTATTAATTTGATTCCATCAATACTAGTAGTATTAGATATTCATAAGCAATAATTTGTCTTGTCATGCATAGGTGCATGTAACCAACACAAGCTAATTCCAAAACGTGTGGGCTCCTGAAATACAGACTGTAAATTGGTAGGTGTAACAAGCAATCATCATATCATGAAACTGAAATGGCATTGAAGAAATTAAGGCTTAATTTTGAGCCAATATATATCCATTTTTGAGCTACTCCATCTTATAATAGGGCTATATGGTGACGGTACGTAATTAATTAACAAACTCTAGGGTGGTTAATTAAGGACTAATGACTCAAAAGTGTGTGCATATTCGTGACCAGCTCAGATCAATGTAGGGCGAATAAACCAACAATTTAAAAGCAAATTGAGTTGCAAAAGAATAAAATCTCATTGTTGCGGTCATGAGTGTCTTCTATGTATACATCGACCCATTAATTAGTTGATAGAACCATTTTATAAATATGCTACCAAAAAACAAACTCATCTTAGCTGTATGATTTTTGTTCCTCGCAACTTCCTAGCTCGCTGACCATGAATTGGTGTACTTTATTTGTTGCGAAGTTAATTAACAAGTATTAATTAATTTATAAAATTGATCACTGTACGTGTTTAATTTCTTGGGACTCGTATGATAATTAATAAAAACTACTGTTTAACTAAGTCAAACCGATCCAAATCCAAATGGGGTATGAAGATACTGTATTAAAAAAGGATTTTACTTGTTGAGGATCAGTTTCGTAATACTCAATTACTCATAATGGATCCAGTGCATGGGGTTTGTGCTTTGATTTTTATCCCAACAGATCACGTGGCAATGGCACGCTTTAGGTGCCAGATCATAACAGGGGCACAAGGCCGACCGTTCACCTTTTGTGCCATTGCATATTCATAGCGTTTCTTTGCTTTTCCTTCTCTTTTACTTTTTATATTCCGGAGGCTTCTGTCCATCTTCTCTTCTCAAACAAAGAGGTTTAAACTTTATTTTTTCATCTTTTTACTTTAATAAAAAAATTATTTTTATTCTTTTTACTTAAAAAACCTTATTTTTATTTTTTAAAGTTTATTATTTAATCCTCTTTTTTGTCATTATATTATTTTTTTATACATATGATGTTTTAAATGATGCAAATTTCAAATTTTAAATTATTTAAAAAGCTCTTTTTTAATCTTTTTACTTTAAAAATTTTATTATTTAATGCATCATGTATGTAAAAAGATAATAAAAAAAATAAAAAAGAGTCGGACAATATACTTTAGAAATAAAAAAGATGCTTTATTAAGTAAAAAAAAAAAAACTAAATTTCTTTTAAAGTAAAAAAACAGAAATCGAGTTTTAACAAAAAAAAAAACTTATAAAATATTAGAAAAAAAAAATCGACCGAAAGTCATACACATTAGCCATGAATCCACCTGATGAATAGGAGGAATGACACTATTATTATTTATTTTTATTTTTATTTTTGCTTTCACTTTCTATATTATTACTTAGGTGTATATGCTTTTCAAAGGATATATACCTGATCCATATCCTATCGGATTAGTTAGCTTAGACATAATTATGTTTTATCTTTTGACCATAACTCTTAACCAATGTTAATTTCGTCCTCATTTCTAAAACGTAAGTTTTCTTAGATGTGAGCATATCTAATTCAAACTACATGAATGATGATGAATGAAATAACACCTCCTCCAAAACCTAATGGTTGCAATTGCAATTGAGTATTCAGGACTGTAGATGAATCTGGTAAATTATGCTGGTAAATTTGCTTGCAAGGATTGGTCAAAAAAATTTTGCTTGTAAGGAAAACAAAATGTGCATGCGATATTAATTACAAATCCTTTTACAAGTATATGTATTTTTATTGAATAATACTATAATTTTAATATTATGTAAAAGTATAAATTTACAATTAAAATGTAATATTAAATAAATTGATATATACAATATTACTTGTAAACTTTTAATAAAATAAATCAATTATATAATAATTTTTTATATTATTCGCTTACAATACCACACACTTTTAATTTTTATTTTTAGTTTTTGACTTTTTTCCTCAAAAAGATTTTGTTAATTCGAGGTTGAGGTTTTTTGTGGTATTACTGTACTAGAGTAACAAATAAGGATGAATTAGAAAAAAAAAAAAAAAAAAAAAAAACTTATAAAATACGTTTAACAAAGATAATTAAGTGCGTATTTTGAACTTTTGAAATTGGCTTACAGCTGAACTGCAATATGAGAAGAAGCTTCATGCAACCTTCAGCACACGCGTTAAAGGCAAAAAATTTAGGCTTTACGTAACAGCCTTCTTTTATTATTATTATTTTTTTTTGCCAAGAAACGTAACGGCCTCTGTTAATGAAATCTTAGTCGGTTTAAATTTAACCCTAAAGGACCAATATATGAATGCCACAATATCAAAAAGAAGTCAACAACATTAAAAAGAATTCCTCCACAGCACTAAATTCGTGAAACAAGATTGGTGCTTCATGGTCTTCGTGCATACAGTCCCTGTTACTATAAAACCAGTGCAAAACAGGCCAAAATCATGTGACAGTCTGTCATTTGCTGTCGAATTATTTATTTATTTTATTTTTCACGGGAGCACATTTTTAAGAATCCTTAACCTTCACCTACTCTCTACTCTTCACTATATAAATAACCCATCTTCCTCTTTTGTTCATCGCAGTCTAAAAACTCATCACAAAGAGAAAAAAAAAAACACAAAATTTCTGCTTTGTTTTAATAACTCAGAAGTTCTCTGTTCTGAAAGATGAAGCTTGCATTTGTCACTTTTCTTCTCGTTTCTCTTGTCCTCAGCTCCTCTTTCTTCGACCTCACAACTGCCGGTTCAAGTACGAAACATTCTAACTATTTTTTTTTTTTTTTTTTTTTGGTTTCATTTGCTAACATTGATATTGTGGTGTTAATATTTTGTAAAATAAATTAGGTTTCTGCGACACGAAATGTGGGGAAAGGTGCGCCAAGGCAGGAGAGATGGACAGGTGTTTGAAGTACTGCGGAATCTGCTGTGAGAAGTGTCAGTGCGTTCCTTCTGGAACTTACGGGAACAAGGACGAATGCCCTTGCTACAGGGACTTGAAGAACTCCAAGGGCCAGTCCAAGTGCCCTTGAGCTTTTCTTCATGATGTCTGATTCTGTCCGCTTTGTGGGACAGAATCAGACGTTTCTGGACCCGACCCTATAGTTCTGTTATTTAATTACCCGGTCATCAGTTACCTATAATCACAGTTTGATGTTTAATTTATTAATATTTATAGATTTTAGGTCATAGAAATTGAAATAAAAAGGGTCCTCTTGTTTGCTCAAATATATATTCTACTTAATTTTCTGCTTGTAGTGTCTGTTTCTATTCATAATGCAAATAATAAGTTCTATTTGTACATTTTTTGGGGTTATATTAAGTGCTTTGTGCACTCAGGATACTTTTTATTGATTTCTTTTCTTTTCTTTTTTTGTCATTTTTTAAAATAAAAAAATTTAAGAGCTAGCATAAATTAATCAAGACTCAAATGCTTGCCACACTCAGCATATATATATTTCATATAATGAATCATCTTCTTATTTTTCAAACCTCCCTTTTGAACTCAACGAAAGAAGGATTGGAGACCTTTAACTGTGCTGTAATTAATCTTGGCTAATTTGGAGTGGTAAATTCCTAAGTGTAACTGACTCTTTTTTTTTTTATTTTTTTTGAAAATAGTGTAACTGACTTATTTCCAGTTTACTTCCAACATTCCAACAAATTAACGAGGTTACTGTAAAAACGTTTGTCTAGTTACTAACAAAAGGTTGGATCAAATGGTAAGTCGTTTTTTCAGTTTAAGCAAGATCTCGAATTCGAGAT